GCAAATGTATTATGGGGAATAATACTCAGTGATTTTTACAAAGTTAAACTAGACTGAGGCATCTCTTTTTCCACAAATGATACAAATACAAAACACGTGAGCACTCGCGCAAATGCTGCATATACTAACCTCTTTCACACACACTCTCTCTGTCTCTCTCGCTCACGCACACACACACAGTAGCTGTTTCATCATATGAAATTAGGTCTAAGCTAGTGGTACATTTACATATATTTGTTTATATTCATAAATACGATTACAGTCGTATTATAATGTACATGTAAGTTTATCGTTACAGTATCACACCACGGACGCTCTTTCTGTAGCTTTAGGGAGGGAGGATGTTGAGAAGGAGGAGGTAATCTGATTGGCTGGCAGGACAGGAACACAATATTTTTGTGCAAAAGGTGTGACTGGAAGAATCGAGACACTTCTAAAGGCTTTCAGAGGTGCTAAATTGAAAGATGCTGTCATGCTTTTTTTTTTTTAAAGATATTATTTTTGTATTTTAAAATTTAAGACACAAGGGTTTAACGATTGTTTGGATCGTGATGTTGATTAGATTGTAATTTTAGCTATTGCACTTTGTTTGATCCTCTGGTTTCCAACCATTTTTTTTAACTAATAAAAAGGCCACTGTAGTATTTACTTCCTTCAATAAATGCAGCTCGATTTCAAGACTGATGAATCAGCCACTTAAACTGATTCACAGTTAAACTGTGACAATAACAGTTTTAAATTTTAATGGGGGAACATTTATTGTCTCACTGAGATTTAAATAAGACTGATACCACTCTCATGTCTGTGCACCACTGCAAACACGAGTTATCTACAGTAATTCCCCTCCTGGCTACCTGCTTTCATTCATATTCACTTCAGCGTTTTGCTCTCTTTCACATTGATTTTAGATCTAAGCTGAGTTCAGAAAAGTTCCTCCCCCCTCCACCTATTATCAAAGCGTTTCCTCCCTGACATTTAAAGAGGAAGAAGACAAAAAAGGGGGGAGAGCAGGAGAGGGGATGCCTGTTTCAGCTTTTAATGTGAAACAACAGTGAATCATGGAGGCAGCTTTGGCCTTTCTGAGAAATACCGTTTGTGTCATAAGGTCTGCAATTACCGTCCTGATTATTCCGACTCCATGCTGCTACACTCGTTCCTCCTGCAGCTCAAATTGCTGGTCTCAGAAAAGGATGTTTTATATCAAGATGCATGTTTTTTTTTTGTTTCAGTCAGGACTATTTTAAAAAAAAGATTATTCCCAAATAGAGTGATTTATATTTAGCAGTTGGGCTCTTTTCTCAGGATCTCCTATCCTTCCTCGCGCATTAGTGGAGAGGAGCAACAAGACCCTTGGTACAGAACAAAGCACACAACATTGACATGGCACTAGTGTTGGGCTAGAGGTGGGTTGCAACTTGCTGATGTAGCAGCAACAGTAAGCAAGCTAAAGGTACTTTAACAGCCAACAGAACATGCTAGATATTGTAGTTTCAGTCCATTATTAGACAAAACAGTGCTCACAAACCAGACTTAACAAAATCTAAAGTATTAAAATTAAACTTGTTAATGAAATAACGAATGAAAGAGCAGCTGAATTTTACAGCTGTTTTTCTCAGGGTGCTCTGACCCCATGTTTCCAAACTATTATTTATATCAAAGCAGACCCAAAAAGGTCCTGATTAAACAGGTAAGCAAAGATTTGGGATTTTTTTACTCTAAAAAACAAAAAATACCAGAGGAAGTTATTTTCTACAATGATTGTAACCATTAAGAGTGATAATTACAGAGAAATATGCACCAAAAAAAGAGCACATGCATATTTCTGACAGTAAAAAACCCTTGCCATCAGAGAGCTAATAGAAACCATAAAAATACCTTATATTTCTACACATGGTAGCAAATGGCAGGCTGATGTAACTGTCAGCTGTCAAGACATTATTGCATAAAATAATTATAAAGCAGGCCACGAAGGGAGCACCTGCTCAAAAAAGGTCTGATTATATTATCTGGAAGATAAAATTAAGTTTAACTTGATTATTAACCTTTTATGAAAACATAATGTATGTTAACCTTTCTGATTACATATTGATTTTTTAAATCGAATGTGGAAAACTTTTAGACGCAGCCACAAGTCACTGAGCAGTACATCAGTATGCCTCACCATGCTGAGACTCAAATCACCTCCCTGCCTCATATTTAAAGAGTAAAGTTTGTGGACACTGTGCTGTAATGTGTTACAACTGCCATATAACTGGCTGTGTGTTTGGCTGTAAAAGGACTAATGATTGCTGCGGCACATTCATGCACAAACACCTGCACACAGGGTGGTTTGACCTGGCTTTATGAAGTGTGTTTACTCTGAACAAACATATACTAGAATTCATATACACACGTAGAGACATCACAAAAGACAAACAACGGAGTACCTTTCATTTACACAACTCTCTCTCCCTCTAGCAACACATTAAATCTTTCTTAATGTTCAACTGGTCCTTGTTGGTCTAATATAAGACAAAACAGCCCATAGAGTATATCATCTAAACATGGGCTGTTGAGCTGTTGGCAGAGCTTATACTTGGATCTAATTAGATATTAAAGCAACATTTTAATTTTTTCACCCACTTTTTTTAATAAGATTTAAGATTTTTCACCCACTTTCTTAACCACTTATCCACTGAGGTTTGTGGGAGGACTAGAGTCTATTCCAGTTATCTTAGGGCACACCCTGCACATGTTGTTAGACTATTACGGAGCAAAAACATAGAGACAGACAACCAGTGACACTCACATTTGCACCTACGACCAACACAGAACAACCACTGACTGTGGGAGGAAGTCAGAGTACCTTAAGAGAAGCCACACAGGATGGCCCCAACAGGAGCGATGTGAAGTGCTAAGTACTGCATCACTATTCACACTGTGCTCATTTAATACCCTTCTAATGTCTCTAGGGTAAGCTGGGGCCATGCAACACTTAGCATAGCATAGCAAAAAGACTCAGGGGCAGTGTTGCCAGCTTAGCGACTTTGTTGCTATATTTAGCGAGTTTTCAGACCCCCTTAGTGACTTTTTTTCCAAAAAGCAACTAGCGACAAATCTGGCGACTTTTTCTGGTGTTACTGGAGACTTATGACGACTTTTCCACGTGAAAGCACGTATCGCTCTTACTCTCAAAAAGTAGCGGGTGCTGCCGTGGGCACCTCGCCTTTGGCGGCAGGTAGTCCTCACGCAGCAGTCCCCCTCAGCTGATGTCAGAGCAGGAGATATTCACCCCTACGCTACAAACTGCAAATGAATCACGCATGAGTGAAGCCGCTGCTTCCCCCCTGCCCCCTTCCCAGAGCGGCGGTAACTGTACATTTTTCTTAGGAATGATGTTTTGTAGTTCATTGATTTAAGAATCAATGCACTACAATAAATCCTTCCAATCATTGCAAACTTAGAATTCGAATGTCCTTGCAGAGCCTTAAGTCCATCTTGTACATCTGTACAAGTAACACTTGGAAACCAAAGCTAGGTAGCCAGCTAACCACCTCTGTGTTAACCATTACTGCAGATATTCATGTTGTGTATTTGTGCTTGGGACCCAGCTAGTTAACTGTAGCTTGCTTGCTTACTAATATTGCCACTAGCAAAATAAGACACTTTAGTTTTTTGTTATCCTAATATGGAGTTTGTGTTGTATTCTATTTCGTTCTAAGAGTTGGTCATAAAACTGCAACCAGGCTAGCTGTTTCCCTGGTTATCAGTTTATATGCTATGCTAAGCTAGCATCTCTTGACTCTATAAGAGGTCGTGTCCAAATTCATGGACTGCATCCTCCTGAGGCCGCATTTGTAGGCCGATTACGTCACAGCGACGCGACGAAGGCTGTCCAAAATTGTAGACTCCTCCGAATGCAGCTGACCAATGCGTCCTCATTTTCCCCGAATTTGAAGGATGGGTCGGGTGTGTCCTTCGTGGCCCACCATATCCCAGAATTCATAGCACGGTTCAGCCAATTCAAGTTTTCAACAATGGCGGCCAGTACTAAGTTTTTAATCTTATTACTCTTTCTGAGTCACAAAATAAACTTTTAACATATTTTCAGGCGAGAATGTAGCTGTGTAAAACTTCAACTATCTGTCAGAGCACTTTTGCAAACATGTGATATCCTGATAAACCGATATCAGGATATCACATGTTTGCAAAAGTGCTCTGACGTTTTCGGAGACGTCTGTTACCCACCACCTCGATAGCTAGCCGGGAACTCGAGGGTCACTGAAGCCGCCGAGAACGACAAAATCCCGGCACATCATTTTCAGATCACAGCGGTCTTTCGCTACTCAGGTTAAACGTAATATATAAGTCACTTAGACAACCTAAAAATTTTATTGTTTGGCTTTTTTCAGTGTTTTATTTGTTCGTGAGTAAATCGGTTTGGCTGAGATTAACGTTATTAGATTAGATTAGATAAAAAAAAACTTTTTTTAATCCCCCGGGTGGTTTTCACACAGCTGAATAAACGTCAAACAGAAAACCGATTAAACAGAAGTGTGAGAAGGTCGAGAATTTACACCAGTGTCCTGTTATATTTTAGATAGGAAGGAGCAGACAGCTGAGTTTATTAAACTCCACCGAGACAGCGGTGACGCAAATCTGAAGGCTAGACTGTCCAATTTTACGTTTACTTCCGGCCTACCCGATCTTCTGAGGACCCGGCCCACGTAGACTGTGAAGGCCGGGTCCTCAGGAGGATGCAGCCCATGAATTTGGACACATCTATAGTGATGTCAATATTATTAGTTAGCTTACATAATTTGGAAGTAAGCTACTTTACATTTACATGTTGTAAGTCTTGAAAACAGTGTACATGTTACACAAATAAAAAAGCAGATTAAAAAAAGATGTGATCTTTATACTTCAGTTGTGTTGCAGCCTTGTAATATCGCACACTAGGCACAGAGCCTGACAGCATGAACATCTGAGTGAGACTATTTCCTATGTAAATCTGTATTTTATTTCTTTGATCTGCGCTAAACAGAGCTGGAGGGATTTCCACTTTCCACAGATCGGGCTGAATTTATAAAGACGCTCAGCTGGAGTGAAGCAGAAGTGCTTCAGGAGAGCTGCACAGCAGGGCAGCCTGGATAAAAGAATGGCATCAATCAGGGGTCCGTGTTCCAAACATGGCTTATTTCCAGACATCACTACCTCAGAGAAAGGGAGAAAGAAAGATTCCCTGCCTCTCTCCTTCTCCTCCTCCTCTCTCTAGCAGCATCCCTCCCTTTCTCCTCCTGCTTCACTGTTCTCTCAGCCTCCTTCCTTCTCTAAATTCAGTTCAACTCTATTACCCTTGCTCTGTTTCTCCACCCCTCCCAGTCTACTTCTGCATGTCACACTGCAGCAGTAGGACAATGGAAGGGTCGGATTTGGCCGCCTCTTTAAACTCTTCCAAGGTGATCTCATCGTTCTGGTCCTTGTCCATCTTGGAGAAGATCTTGTCTACACGCTGCTGAGGGGTAAGCCCGTCCTCGTTCATACGCATCATGATCACTGTGCCTACCATCTTGTAGATGGCCTGCAGAGGGCAAAAAAGGGGAAATAATGCTCGATTTTGCCTTAAATACAATTAACAGTTTATTTTTAACACAGACACACCTCGATGATCTCCAGCATCTCCATGCGTGTGATCTTTCCATCTCCATCTAGATCGTACATGTTGAAGGCCCAGTTGAGTTTCTGCTCAAAGCTACCCCTGGAGGTGATAGACAGGGCGCAAATGAACTCTCTGAAGTCGATGGTCCCATCGCCATTTTTGTCAAACGTCCGAAACGCATGTTGAGCAAACTTGGAAGCATCACCATATGGGAAAAACTGCAGTTTAAAAATGAGAAAAACAAAAGTTTGCAATGAGACATTTGTGGCATTGGCCACTTTAGGTTCAACTGTTGACTGTTGAAGTATATACTATCCTTGATGAATAAACAAATGCAGTACAGCATGGGTGCTGAAGACCATTAATGTTACTTTAGGGTAGAGTAGCATTCATCTCTCAACCAGTACTGGTACTGGTATATTCTCTTTGGTACCAGTACCAAATGATACCCCTTTTTTTCTACACTGTACTTGCTCTGAAAACAACGGTGACAGTGTCAGGTGACAAAAGCTTACCCATCATGTAATTTGCAATTGACTGATTTAATCTCACTGTTTACTTGGTAGAACCAATATGTTCAGTACCCTAAAAAATACCTAAAGGTTTAACCAACCCTACATTCCTTACTTTAGTTTTACATTATTTAATGTTTAAAATCATGCATATTTTTTTCTAAATTTCAATAAATAAATTTGCTGTAAAATTTTGTATTTGTGTATATTTTTGGACACAGACTCATCTTTTTGAGCTTTAGCCAGTGCTGTGTATAAAACATTAAAAGTACTAGCATGTTACTTTTACGGACTAATGCCAAAGTAATGTAACAACTTTCTCCAACAAGTAAATAAGCAACATTAGGGCTGTGCAATATGACAAAATCTCATATCCCCATATAAGAATTCTATCGTCCCGATAACGATATAAATCACAAAAATATAACATTTTCTGTAAATTATGTGAATCTCGGGCAGCTCGACTTGCGGGAAGTGTTTCCAGCTGCGCGTAGTGTACCTGGTGTCGAGTGTTTTAACCGATGCATGACACTATACATTTTTAGACATAAGTTGTAACGGCCGCTGTTTTCTTTGTGAGTATTTATTACACGGTGTGCTGCGGGGAAAAGCCTGTTCTAAGGTTTGAGTCTAAGGTTTATTTTTTAGCACCTGGCGGCTCTTTTTTACTTATCATCCGTAAATAATCTGCTCTTTCACGTGATTCTGTTTATTTTGAAAAGTCTCAACAGGATCTTGAGCTTTATTGTGAAAGGTTTATGTGGAACATAAACAAGCGGACACACGATGCTGTTACCGTCGTTGTTGCTAACCACAATGCATAAAACAGGCGCTTGGCCGTCAGTAGTGTGGTTATATTAAATATAAGAGAAAGAGAGAAAGAATAAATTAATATAGCCACTACAGTGACCATCAAAAGGATGAAAAAATGTTGCCGTAAACCGTTTATTTTGCTACACCACGAAACAAACGATAACATAAAATGAAACCATAGACATTTTTATATCGTCATCTGATATATATCGTTATATCAAACAGCCCTAAGCAACATACTGCATTACCTTTGAGAAAAGTAATGAGTCACATCAAATACATGACTTTTTTTGGGTAACAAGGCCAACATTGTTTTAGCTATATACCGAAACCTATTTAAGTTAAAGGTAGATCATGAATGTGGGCTTAAAAGCACATCTCAATGAGTAAACTCATTCAAAGTCTGTTACATAGACAGATTTGGGCTATGATGATAGTGTAGTACTTTTGTCTGGACGCCACTGCTGTAATCAAATGCACTCTCAGCATAAGTAAAACAGACATCCCTAAAGCTCCATAACAAGACAAGTCCATCAGAGAGACAGCAGGGACATTAGGAGTGGGTAAATCTCTATTGTGGAGTATCCTGGGTGCAGTAAAACCACCATGATAAAATAATGTAAAGTGCAAGTGCTGGACATCCACAGAAGACAAACTTTATGGAGAGCCACAGGATCCTTCCAAGTGAAGAAAAGTATATTTTGTTCACTTCTTGTTTTGTTCAGTCGTGTTCATTTAAGTTAGGAGGTTGATGTGGTACAATCTGTAAGTGCCAATACCAAAGCTAAAATTCAGCCAAATGCAGCAGAATTAATAAGGTGTCACCTCACAGTAATGACCCTTTGACAGCGATTCAAACAAGCTGGATGAAACCCACGAGTGTTTGAAGGTAAAGGAGTTGAATATTTTGCAGCGGTCAAAAGAGTCACCTAAACTCAACCTGATCTCAGCCATAAATTTAAATTGCTGAAGACAAAAGTCACAGAGCCCCAAATATACAGTTAATGCAATACATTACATTCAACAGCTCAAACCTGAAGTCTGCACTCAACCCCTCATATACATAAAACTCTTAATATGTTTCACTAAACTGCTAAAATAACAAAAGCTGTCAGTGTTTAAATACATGGACTAAACTGTACATCAAACTGACATACTGAGCAGCAATTACAGCTCTGATTTTAAGCATTAATTGCTTGAAAATTAGCCTCATTTCTTTTTTTTTCTTTGGCCACGTACACACAAAGTGCAATTTGCAAATACAGCATTTACCTTTCCAGCACTGACTAAGAACAAAATGTTTTTTAAAGGGTGTCGGTAGCTGGCTGTAAGAGACCCACGGAAGACCTGTTAGCAATGACACGCTGCTTATTAAAGGATTTTTTTCCTCCTTCTGCCAGCAGAACTTTGGAGAGATTATCTGTACAAACTGCAGTTGTTTTCTGTGCCCTTTAAAACCGAGTGGGAGTGAATGAGCCTGAGAGGATATGCAAAATTGATTTAAAAATATCTTTTCCCCATCCAACCAATGAAAAATCAGCAGGCCTCTTTGCGGCACTGTGGCATTTTGAAAGCTCCAAATATTTTTGGAGGCAGTTTTAGGCAGCAACAGAGGCATTAATACAGGCTCCTCCTCCTTTATGTGCACTCAACAATTGATTAGTCAGCCTCAGTAACAAAGGCTTTCTATGTAACAGCACAACAATGCTATGAGTCATCTCAGATGTAACTTTTTTTCTTTATATAACTATGGGGAGAGAATGAGGAGGCAATGGTTGAGACGGCTTACTCTCACCTTGACATAGAGCTGCTGAAACTCCTCCAGGTTCAGAATGCCAGAGGGACAGTCTTTAAGGAAGCCCTTGTACCACTGCTTGAGCTCTGCCTCATTGAATTCAGTGCTCTTGGTCAGGTCATCCAGGACCTCTGGAGCCAGCTTGCTGTTGTGTTTCCCCATGATGCCTCACCTCTGTTGAAGAGAAGCAGAGAGAAAGAGAGAGCGGGAGGGTGACCACACAGGTGATGCAGAAACAACAGCAATAGCAGTGATGCCCCTGAGCACTTGCAACAAGCTCGGTCTCTGAGGATGGATGCAAACGAGGAATTACTTACACACAGCCAAACTCAGAGAAAGCCCTGCTGCCTTCCTGTGGCTTTGCCTGTCAACATAAATCATCTTAGCATGGCGCTCTGTCACACAGTAATCGTTTATTTATATTCCTCTTGCTTAAAAAGTTTATCATTATTTTTTAAGACAATTTGATCCCATTCATCTTAGTGTGTCTTACTATCTAAATATTGATATTATTCCTGTTTGGTTTTAGATTTAATGCTTTGGAACTTCTGCTTTTAGTTTATATCAATGACGTTTAATACTCTGACTTAAGTTTAGATCAGAAGCCCTGTGAAGACAGGTTTTGGCTTATCCAGATAACTTTACAGTTAATCCTACGAAGGTGGTTCAGTTCTAATCAGGATAATTTGCCATGGTAATTTATGCTGTGAACCTAACCTGCTCTAGAGCAGATCTAGATTAGGGATCAACATGTATGAAATCACTGACTGATGACCAATCAATTCTCCAGAAAATAGCGTCACCATTCCTGGTAGATTCCTCAGACCTTTATGCGTGAACGGTAAGAAGGTCTAAAGTTCTTAATATCGTGTTTCCCTCATGAGCATCAGAAATAAATGTTGGCACCAAACAATTTTACAACAATTTTAATGTTATATAAGCCTTAATATCTGATCCTAAAACAGAACACCTACACTATATTTGCTCACCTTATATGAAATTTGTATTATCAATTAATCACCAGATTAACTGAAGAACTGTGGCATTTAGTTCATCCTTTTTACACCCGTCTTGCATTTTACTTGAATATTTTTATGCTCCTTAGAGATTTCTATCAACATTTGATAACATCTCTGGAGTAGGTGGCACTCAGGGATCATTTTCTGTGGAAAAAGAGTCATATGATCCGTGAAAGGCCCTTTTGTGATTGGTCAGATGCAACCCTTTGTGAACGTGCAGGGGAAACCTGTGTTAGCTTAGTGAGCTGATAACCAGCTTCGTGCGACCACTTGATCACATGACTCCCGACTCCTGATCACCAGGAGTTAAGTAAATTTAGATAACAGAAATGTACCCTGAATAAAATCACTGCATAGTATAGGGCACCTACTGAAGTAATAAGGCAATTCAGTGTTGTACAGGCGGTAAATCAACAAAAAAAGCCCCAAGGCTCTGCTTTGGGACCACTGCAGTTTATTGTTAATTAGTGCTCTCCCAATATTACTATTACAACCCAATATTGCGGTAAAGCATGTAATACACATGGCGGTCCATAGTGTCCACACTTTGCCTGTCCAAAGTGTTACATGTACCCGCATGCAGAAGTTGCAGGAAGCTGCAGTAACAGCAGAGGGATTTACAAGTATATGCATTTAAGCACCTAGCTTAACCATTTCTGCTCACCACCAACTTCTTGGCTTTAACCTCCTAAGACCCGAACTCTTCCACGGCATGCATCTTTTATTTCTCTTTGATATGAATGTAAAAACAAAGATTGACCAGATTTTTTTTTTTACCTGATTTTTGTTTTTTTAGAAAAATGAGAGCCACATATAAGGATAGTCGTTTAAAATTTCGATAGAACAGTAGCAGTATAATGTCCTCGTAAGTGGATATCAGGCCCTTGTAGAGCAAAATTGAGTATTTTGGTCTAAATAACCCAAAATGTGATGTCCACATATGTGGACACCATGTCCTAGGAGGTTAAATATATTATCTCCCCCTGATGGTAATCCAAGTTCTTCATGCAGTAATGCAAGTTCTGCATGCATGTCTATTACCTGTTCTGCAGTGATACTGGGTTGGCTATTATGTTTATATCCTGAATTAAAAAGAAGATTTTATTAAATTTGTAGTCAATCTAACCACTTGCAGCTGTCATTTATTCTAGCCTCAATTGACCTGCTGAAATTTAATGCTAACAATAAAGCAACAGAGATTTGCACAATATATGTGTGTATATGTGACTTTAGCACTTAGTTCTAGCACTCTTAGGAAACATGCAGCAGATGGACGCATTTATATGCCACTATAAAGAGTTCAAAGAGGTTGCAGACAAACAAGGACTACCAGCAGCAGTCCAAGTGTGGAGTTAAAATCCGTGGAGACCCACTTAAGAGGTAGCTAATTATGTTGCTGTTTAATCTATTTGTCGCAAAGCACTTGGCAATTATAATATTTGCATATGCACTTTATAAACGGTATTAATTCACATGTGTGGGCCTCTATGGGAATACACAAGAGCTGTCGGAAACCAAAATAAACCCGTCCACAACACAGGAAATACCTTAAAATTGGTCTCGTCATTGACACATGCTGAATTCAATTATAACCACTCCACAGGTTAAAGCTATTGAAAACTAAATATATTCAAAGATGTCCACAGTGCACAGTAAATGTAGAGAACTGCAATAAAAGGATAAACATCAACCTTATTCAGTTTAGTGTTAAGGCTCCTGCTTTTTATTATCTTCTCCGGTTCCTCCTCTTTGACAGCAATAAGAGGATTCATTTTTGCTTTTTGACTTGATAAGATGACGGCTACTCCATCCAAAGCAGGGTAACGCTAAAACAACCTGTCAATTATTGGCTTCCACTGTTGCTTTTTCTCTGTGTTACAGCACTTTTACATGGTCACAGGAATACACTGTGCCTAATCCTTAAAGAGTACTTTTTAAATGCAATTCATTTGTTATTCTTATTTGTTTTTGTTATGTAATCATTTATTTCTGGCACCGTGACTGTGTTCTGAGTCAGTAGCAGGACCCTAAGACAAATAAAACAAGTCAATGGCAACAGATTAAATTGATTTAGCTGAGCAGCTAAAGTGGGGGTCAGTTGCAAAGTGCCTTGCAAGGCAGCATGAGCTGCAGTCGGGCTAAAGCATGCATTATATATGAATTCCCAATAGAGAAGGGTATTAGCTGAGCCATCAGCTTATGTGAGCTAACATGGGGATCAGCTGATTAGCGACTGAGCTAAGCTTGATTGGCCTCCTAGAATAAATGCTATTCTCCACATGCTACTAAAATAAGTTAAGTAAAAGTGGACATATAAAATAGAAAAGTTGTCGTCACCAACAAGGAGACACATTCAGTAAGTGGAAATTACTGCTAGCGTTCTGTTTTGACATTTCTCTACAGTAATGTTAGCAAGAAGATAGCATCCCTATTTATATTGACTATGCATATAATTTGTAAAACCAAATTTATGCAAATGATTAAACTGTATTGTTTGTCTAGCAAAGTTAGATTACCGTGTACAATTACGCAGAAATGTGTAACTAACTGAAGGTGGTTTCTATGTTAATGAAGTACTGAATAGAAAGTTATAGCAGAGGAAATATATAACAAACATATACACAGTACTAGAGAACTTTCCATTCCCGTAATGACTGATATCATTCTGCAGTACCTCCATGATCACCTAATGTGAGCTAAGCCCATGACAGCATCTCCGCTATATTGGCCATAAAATGGCCCATTACTCCCATCACCGAGCACATATTCACACCACAGAGGACCACTGCAGTGCCTTCGTGACGCCATTCCTGACTCATGGCCCTGTCTGACAGTTTTCACACTCTGACACCAGGACACAGCCAATACTGCCACAGCCAAGTGGCCACAAAATCCTCAGAGTGTGAGGTCAGTGTAATGGCTGAAATATCATCCTGTCTTACTTTATAGCAGTGAGTCATACAGGAAGAGGCCGCTGAACCCCAAATCACTGCAAACTGCAGAAATATTTTAGACTCTGCATAGCTGTGACAAGGTGAAAGTGCTGTAGTGCAGAGAAAAAGTAATGAGGGACTTCAATAGGTGACAGGTTGTTTTAGCATTACCCCGCTTTGAAAAGGGTGGCTGTCATCTTAGCAGGTTAAAAAGCAAAAAGGAATTCTCTTAACAGCTGTCAAAGAGAAAAGGAAGGCTGTAAAAAGGATTCATTATTGTAGGAGCAATTGAAGACACTGAGGTGTTATCACAACCTTTTACTGCTCCTCTCTACATATACTCAGCAATGCAGACACCTTTGACTTTTTTAGTTTAGAGTTGCTTTAACCTTTAGAGTACAACGCCAATTTCACCAAAATTGGGACAGTGTATGATATGTAAACTCTCATAAACCTGCGTTTCATTTACACAGAATGTAGAAAACATACTGAAAAAAGACTTTTAAAGAAAGTATAAGTTCATTTTGAGTTTGAATGGAGCAACGTGTCTAAGGGCCACCGTGTAGCATTCTCTCTTTTATTAACAGTACATAAACATCTGGGAACCGAGGACAGCAGCTGCTGGACTTTTGGAATTTTGCTCTGTCCTGATTTCTAGCTGCTCCACAGTCCTGGGTCACATTTTAACTTATTTTGCATTTCGCGATTCTCAAATTGTTTTCAATCTGAAACCCCTGGACTGCAGGCAGTTCAGCACCACTGCCTGCAGTCTCAGTGGCTCTTCTACTATAATGCCATGCTGTTGTAAGTGATGCAGTATGCAGTTCAGCATTGTGTTGCTGAAATATACAAGGCCTTCTCTGAAAAAAGGGTCATCTCAGTGAGAGCATGTTTCTCTAAAACCCCGTGTATACCTATCAGCATTGATGATAGCTTTTCAGAAGTGCAAGCCCACAGATTCCTCCAGATTCTTTGAATCTTTTGATTATAATAAGCACTGTACATGATGATATATTCACAAGAGATACTGAAGTCTTCACAATGTTGTGCTAACGAACATTATTCTGAAACTGTTCCATGATTTGTAGATGCAGGTTTTTGCTGATTTTTAGACGTGTTGATGAGCAAATTTTTTTTTTCTTGAAACAGCACAATATTTCAGCTTAAACACGTTGATATGTCCATTTCCATAATTTTCCATTCAAATGGACGCTCTGCACAC